AGCTGACATCAGGATTCCATACATTTCCTCTGAAGTTGATACCATTCTGATTAATTTCTTGTGAAGCTGATATGATCCTGATTATGCAAATGCTTGGCTATTAGAAGATAAGCACAATGCCTTAAATTTGTACCTGTATTTTAAAACATGCTCATTCATCATTTAACTCTTTTCATACACAAATCTGTGTGTAAGAGACAGAGGATATATTTCTGTTTATGGGCCAGTAATTAGGAGAAATATCATTAAATATTGTCACACCAGAATATTTCATTATTGATTCACAGACACAGTGCGGGACAAGTTCTAATTTGTATAAAAGCAAATCTTAATCATCTAAGTAAACTAGGTATTTTGTTTATAATGTAAAAAGTGTTTTATTTCATGGGTGCTCTGAAATATTTTCAAATCTACCCTTACACTTAATAGGAAATTTGAGCAAGAATGATAATAAAACTTGAAAAAAGCAGGAAGAGTGAATATTGACTTAATTACAAATAAATACCTCCTATTTTTTTCCCCCAGTATTTGTTTATCTGTCATTAATATTAATACTCTTTAAAACATAGAACCAGAAAGGTCAATAAAGTAGTTGATTGCACCAACCATAAAGGGATAGATTCTTTTAGACAATCCACAGTCATCACATTACATTTGTAAATTTCAAGGAGCCAATATCCAATTTTCTGTGGTTTCTTTCTTCCCACATATGTCACACTTCAAATTCGTTTTGACATCTAAACAATGTTTCCTTTTTTTCATTATAATTCCCTTATCTAGAGTCAAAGCTTCATGACAATTCCATACAAAGAAACATGAAAAGACTTTCTGGTAGATAGGTTCTTTATTTTAACGATTTCTTACAAAGATACATTGACAAACAATCCAGCTGCATGGGGTTTCACAGGCAATATCTAACTCTTACCCCACTCACAAATCCAATAATAAATATTCAACCTCCTAAAAAATACCCCCAAAACACTCCAGGTTACTCTTCCTACCTCATTTCTGCATTTTTTTTTTCCCCTTGAGGCCGAAGCATCTGTGTTAGTTCCATACTATCAGCATATACATTTTTAATTAACTAAATGCAATAAAAAAAACCAACTAGTTGTCATTTTTGTAAGATATATTCACTTATACTTTTTTTTCCAGTTTATGTATAAATGTAATCTCATTCATAAAAACATAACAGCATTAAAACATATTCTAGGACAGGGATGCAGCCACTGCTTGCTAATGCAGAGCAGCAGAGTGAATTAATGCTTACCCAAGCTCTTATCACCCAGTGACTGCAGAAAAACTGAAGGCTTCCCAGAAGAAAGTTGCAAAAATGAATCAGGAACACATTCTGAGACCAGTTCTCAGGTCAGACTTGAGTCTAAGCACGTCTCAGAAGGAGCCACAGAAGAGCCCAGCTGTGGTTCCCAAAAGGGATGTCCCACCTTGCATTGACTGGTGAAGTTCAAGAGCCCTTTAGGCCTTTCCCTCCATCTCCTGCCTCCACTCTCCTGCAGGGCCAGAGGTGTCAGATTTGTATGATACAAGCACATAAACTGAGGAGAATGGGGGAATTCAGACCTGCTCCTCACTGCTCTGGAAGGAAGGCCAGAAGTGGCCAGATACTCTGACCTACATTAGCACAGCAAAACTGCAGGAGGCAGAGGTAGAAGCAGCAGACCAGCAAAGTCATAACTGGTAAGGAAGAGCTCAAGAAAACAGTCATAGGATCTTTAAACATCTCAGCTGGTGTGTCCCCTGACTTTATGACACAGTTGAAAATGACATTGTTGTTGTTCCCTTCGTGTTCAGAATGCAGTCTGAGACAGGTGCAAAGACCATTTAATGAATCCCAAACACAGGGCGGGAAGGAACCTCCTAAATCAAAATTAATTGCCTGCTATCACAAGCCACATCATCATACAATCTGGCTTATAAATTAATCATGTTTCATTTTAATAGTACCTTGGCATCTTTCTCCCATTTCTATCATCAAACAGCATTTCTGGCATCTCCCTTCACCAAGGATAGAGATGTCCACAGAGATTCCCAGCCCAAATACCTGCATCTAAGACCAGGTGATACACAATTTGTCCTTGTGCCAGTATTTTCATTTCTCTCAAGCAGGGAAGGGCTTTTGTTTTGTTTTGTTTTGTCTGGTGTTCACCTGTTTAACTTGTAAAGAGCTGCCTTGCTCTCCTACATCTTCCTTTGCTGGGCTGAAGTCACCGAGCTCCTTGAGCAGAGATGTTCTCCATCCCATCAGGAATCCTTGCAGCCTTTTCCTGCACCCCTTTCATTTGGAATCATATTGCTGGAGCAGGGACATGCAGGAATTTAGATGACATGTAGCACTGTCACATATATGACCTTGGCAGTTTGCTGTGCCTTTTGGAAATACTTCTGCAGGTGCAGCAAACTACTGCTTTTCTTCAGCAGTGGTAGCTCCCCCTCGTCCTGTGATCTTCTAATAGATTCTTCTTTTTGTTGTCATTTCCAATTGGTCAGCCCAGATCTTGCAAAAGAAATCCTTATGATTAGTTTTTAAAAGCACAGCATCATGCCTTGTGGCATTAAATGACTTCCCACTTCCATTATCCTCAGCCATTGAATTTCTTCTTTATGAAGTCAATATAAGTTATCTCTTCATAACAATGACTTCATAATTTAATTATGATGTACCTGCTTTTTTTTCAGTGTTATTGTAACAGTGATTCAAAAGTAGCCTTTAAAGAAACTTCCAATAAAAGTTTCTACTTTTAGAACATTCTGGAATTCTTCAGCTACTTTACATGATTTCTCTTACTTATCTCTATGTTCCTTCCTTTACTGAAGCTAGGTATAAATAATTAAAAGAAATCCTTTACATTAATAATCTAATTCATCAGAGAGATGTGGCATAATTTATCTTTGGTAAATTCAGCCTGTGCTATCCACTTTTAAATCAGTCTCCAGAAGTTTTTGTTTGTTTATTCTAAATATCTTCTTTATGTCCTGATTACTATTAAATCTTAAAAAACAAACAGTTACCTTGGCAAATCTTCACCTCCATGCATTACATTTCTTACACAAAATTTTTATTCTTTGTCTTTTGGCACCATGTAAATTTTATTGGTCTTTTAAAAAAAAGGGAACTACAGGAACCATAGTTTCACATGTCCTTTCTTTAAAGACATATTCAGGTTTTTCTTTTCCCTTCTTTCTCCCTGCCAACTTTTAATGTCATGCTTTCCAAGTTTTCATTTTATTTTGGCTTTACTAAGATTATATTTTCATACTTCATATTCACATTGAGAACTGTGTTGCTTCCTTGACAACCCCACCACCATCACCCAACTCCAACTGCTTTGGCCAAAACCAGATTATTCTTGGTCTCTATCTCATTTACATTAAATACAAGTCCCATTTTCTCTCAGCAACTCCTTTTTTTAAAAAAATATAGGAAAGGAACTATTTACCACTGATTGATGCTGATCCTTTTTTCTCAAGTCTAAGACATCTTGACTTTGGCATTTGTCACATCACACTTACCAGACAATTTTCCTACCCACAACAGACCTCTTCCTCTGTTCACTGGCTTCTTTCCTGAATTCCAGTGGATTTTTATCCTGCATAATCCTTCAGATCATTGCCCATATTAACACCACAAAACTGGGCCTCAAAACCTCCCTTACAAGTTTATACCCTCTGGCTCAAGATGCAAATTTAAAATATTTTTAAACCAAAAGTAGAGGTTTCTGAGTTTTACAGTCCAAGTGACTCCAATGAATAGCTCTTTGATGTCTTTAAATCATTTCTTCAAAACCAGTCTGAGATATATTTCTCTTTAATTTGAAATTAATCAAAGGATGAACCAAGCAAGAGTTTTCTCTGTGAACAGCTCCTTATTACTTACTCACTGCTTACCAGAGCACAGGATTGCCTTTTATTTCTTCTGTAGCAACTTGATAAAGAAAACCAGCATTCTCACACTGAATTAAAATTGGGTCCAATTTTCAGTTTTCCACCCATGTTGATGTAGAACATTAAATCTCTGCACCACCACACAATGCTTGCAGAGCTCTGTTGAACCACGTAACGGGGTTTTTTCCTTGCCAACCAACACTTAGCCTGGTGGCACACAGCTCACTGCTGGTACTCTTCCACCAGGTCATTGTTGAGCTAACAGTGAGGAATTTTAGTTCCAAAGCCTTTGTTTTAGCCATTCTGTCATTTTGTGTTACTTCACCTTAATTTCAGTATTTCCTACAGGTGCACACCCTTGGAGAGCCGTGTCCAGACCCCACTGCTGCTCTCTCACCTCGATTTCAGACTGCAGTGCCTGGTGCCCAGCTCATGCCAGGTATATCCAGTCATCTCACAGGTGAGCCACTGCTTAGCCCACAAACAAGTCTCAAGTTCCTCAAGTCATCTGCCAGTTCTCTAATTGAATTAGACAATTTTCTCAATTACCTCACCGCTCTCCTGATTATTGTCACCATCACCCTTATGCCCCTCCTGATTAACGCTCCTAACAAGTGCCACGAGGCTACACTGAGCTAGGGGAACTGTCATAAATTCTTCTGAAGTTTCATTTTCTTTTAATGATAGATTAGTACACTTTTCATCTCCTTAGTTTCCAGTTAAGGGTAATATTATTTCACATAGTTATCAATAGTTCTTTATATGTATATTAACACACTCAGGTAAGCTGCCATAGTTGTCATAGAGATTTTCTTTATATAATTTCCCTTTTATTAAAAGAACTTGTGTAATTGTCACTCTTCTGCTTGAAAAGGCAGCAGATGCTATGGCTGATAATGATTAGCTCAGAGTCTGAGCAGTGACATCAATGAGCAGCCAATCCCCACTCACAGCAATAGGATCAAGATTTAATTCCTGCCAGAGCTGCAGTGGAGCGCTGAGATCCACTGCAAGGTTTGGTGTTTGAAATCAAACACATTAGTATGAGTTTAATTGGCATCTGGTGGATCCTAATAACTGTATAATTAAGTCCACCCTTGCAAATTCTCTTTATATTATGGCTCCTACTTAAGCAAAAACCATGAGTAGTATCTCTTATATACAAGAGATTTGGGAACAAACTGGATCAAAGAATAGAGTACAGTTAAAAAAAACCCCAAAAAACGAAACCAAAACCATTTTTGTTATGGACCTTCCCCAATGCACACTTTAAAACAGAACAGAATTGTTGAGCAATTTTACACCTGTTCCCTATTTGACACTAGTTTATTACTACATTGTAGAAATATTTCATTTTGAAGCACATGTTTCTTCTTGGGAAGTAAAAGAAGTATAGTTCTTGCAAAAGGTTAAGGTTTAGGGTTTTTGAAGAAGTCTTCTTTTTCTCTGATGTTTCATGACCTTTTACCTTGAAGGACCCCATCAAATGACTCAGGCTGTCAAGGGTGTGTTACAAAGTTTGATTCTTCTACAAAAAGAAAGTAAAGAAAAAAGTTAATTGCAGGATGCATGCCTTTCAGAAAGCTGTTTTATCTCTGGATTAAGAAAAGTCTGATACTTTGGGATTAGTGTTTCTGGAGATGAGCAAAGTTGTTCAAAGGAAGTCTCATTAGAGGGACCTAGTCCTCTTGCCACTGAACATGTCAAACAAAATAATATAATTGAAACCATTCAGCTTTAGGAGAGAAAATTCTGCAGTATTTACAGCTTTGCTGGGTGACAGGTGTTCATCCTCATGAACAAAACCTGCACACAGGGACCAGGTTGCTCAGAGCCCCATCCAACCTGGCCTTGAAGATTTCCAGGGATGGGGCATCCACAGCTTCTCTGTTCCAGGGCCTCAGCACCCTCAGAGTAATGAATTTCTTCCCAGTATCCAATCTAACCCTGGCCTCTGCCAGTTTAAAGGCTCTCCCCCTTGTCCTGTCACTTCATGCCCTTGTACAAGCCCCTCTCCAGCTCTCTTGTAACCCCTCCAGGCACTGGAAAGCTGCTGGAAGATATCCCTGAAGCCTTCTCTGGGCTGAACAACCCCAATTCTCTCACCTGTAAGAGGTGCTCCAGCCCTCTCAGCATCTTTGTGCCCTGCTCTGGACAGGTCATACCGAACATTTAGGTTATCACATATTTGTACAATCCAGAACAGCCTCACCATCCACCTGCACATACTGATCTGCACAGGTGTAAGCAGCTAACACAGCTTTGACCAAAACCTTTAGATGAGATGAAACAAGTATTTGATAAAAACAAGAGTTTGTGTGATTTTAGGTGCTTGCTCTGGCAGTAGTTTTGTCCTTGGTAAAATGCAGCTGGACATGCACCATAAACAAAAAAATTCCTCAAAAAGTTGCATTACAATCCCAGTTAGTATTGCTGCAGACAGTGCTGCTGCAGTAAAATGTTCAAAAACAAAATAAACCAAAGGGGTTTTTACATGTTTTTTATTTTTCCATACTCATGGTATTAGAAAGCCATTAAACACTTGCAATAGCAGTAGTACCTAGTGTTCAATAGCTCACATACAGCTTAAGCAATTAGAAGCTGTTTTCTTTGGAAAGAATACATTAATATTGGCCAGGACAGCATAAGGATAAGTCATGATGTTACTTGTGTGAGACTGACTGTGATAAGGAGATTATATGAGCTTGGCAAAGTGATAAGCCTCTGTGGATTGAATAATTTCAGAAGCTTGGGAAGACTGGAAGCGCTTTTTTGCTGCACTGAACAGCACAGAGTGCACAGATCCCTGAGCCAGGGCTGAGCAAGCTACCTGCAGAACCAGGGGCAGAATATTCACACCAGGGTAACACTGTCCCATGGCTAATTACCCATTTTTGCTGTTCACTTGAATTATTCAGAAGAGGGGGTGCATGTGGAATAACAAAGATCATCAACAAGCAAAGGAAAATAAATAATAAGGACTAAATACGTTGAAAAGAAGCAAACCCAAAACACCCACACCAATCATGCAGTAATAATTCATCTGAAATTTTCTCCTGCACACTCGTAACTTTACCTGATTTATTCAATTTTGTAAACAGAATAAAAGACTGGTAAGGCAGACACACCAGGATATTATTCAAGAAAGCCACGTACAAATGGCAGAATCAGCATCAGTGATTTGTGACTACTATTGAAGAAATTAGAAATAATTGCAACCTTTCATTACAAAACCTGTCATTTGGTATCTGCAAGCAATTTGGTGTAAAACTAATCTTGACGACTGAGTCACTGCCAAACCCAAGAATTTGCTGCATAAACATTAAGCCATATAATTGCTCAAGGTGAATGCAAGAATCTATAACATTAACTGTTGCTATATCAAGACCAAACCATGCAGCTCTTGATTCAAAGAAATTTGAACTGTAGGATCAGGCTTTTAATTTTTTTTTTTTTCTCTTTGAACAAAATGAGGGTTACTATGAACTCAAATTTGAGGAAAAAAAATCAATCAGTGAAAGACATAGCAACATTTCCATTGAGCAAGCTTATTTTGGATTAATCACATGAACTGCCGAATTCACAAACACTGGGCTCAGGATTTTGCAAATTTATGCCTAAACTGCTTCAGCAAAAACAACAACTGCACACATTATGAAGAATCTATTAGCATTTATCACAAACCAGATTAAACCAAACAGGTTTTTTTCCCCCCACATTTAGACTGTGGATCAAACATCCTCACCACACACAGGTTATAGTTATATCTAAATTCTATTTTCTCCTTCCATTTCTAAACATTTTCCCCTAGATGAGTCCCAGTTTGCAATTAATAAAAAAAACAAACCCAAGAATATATTTTATACCATAAAATATAAATGATCTGTCCCTTCACCACCAGAACTTTCAGCAGTTTCTTGTAAACCTGATGTAAAATCAGCATTTCTGTCAAGGAAATGATATCAAAAAGATCCATTTGCAGCCTTGCCATGGATTGTTATACCCTAATTAATGTATGATTGTATTTTAACACACTGCCTGGGTTTAAGCCCAGCTGGACACCAGGACACATACCTTTATGGATATCCTGCTTTCCTGTCAATTCTGTTCCAAGGATTTGGAGAGAAAGGTGGACTGGCAAGGGATTTCAGATGCTCCCACAACATGTGAAAATAAAGTTCAAGCCACAGCATGGTGCAAAGCATTATTGGAAGAGAAAAAGAAAAACTCTGTCCTACAATGTGTTGAAAGCTTCCCAAATGGTGAGAGTTATTTCAGAAAGTTTATTTTAGGTAAAAGAAAGCTTTTTCAAGGAAGTGGTAACATAGGATTACACATTACAAAAGGTTGCTTTCCAAAGCAAAGAAGAATTATTTTACTTTTACTTTTTTTCAATGTATCCTACTTCTCTAGCACAGGGAGAAAATATCTGGAAAAGACTAGAAAATATCACCTGGTTGACAGCACATATTTGTGCAGATGGCTAGATTTTATTTTTTAGCAAAACTCCAAGCTAGAAACCCGTTCCTTTAAAACATAAAATTATTAAATGAAAAAACATCTTCCCACATGTGCAGTTCTTGAGTAAAAAAATACATTGGATTTCCACAGAATTATAAAGATTCCTCAGAATACTATTTTTTACACATTTCAAGGAACCTTGCAAAATGAAATGTTAAAAACTCATTCTACCAGTTCTACCCTAAATCAAGTAGTTGCATACTGAGGCCCAAACATAGCCTGTGTTCTTTAGCTTTAATCTGACAGGATCTCAGGGGCTGAACAGTTTCTTCTTCTCCTCTCCTACATTTCTGAATGAATAACTGGGAAATTCATTTGCCTGTACTGTTGTGAAGCAAAGCTTCCAAGACAAATAGGCTGACTTTTTGCAGTAAGCCTAAAAAGAAAAGAAAATATAGGATTATTATTATTATTATTATCATTATCATTATCATTATCATTATCATTATCATTATTATTATTACTTAATTATTTATTATAAGTTATTATATTTATTGTTCAATTATTTTATATGTATTATTTTCTTCTTCTTTTCTTCTTCTTCTTCTTCTTCTTCTTCTTCTTCTTCTTCTTCTTCTTCTTATTATTATTATTATTATTATTATTATTATTATTATTCTTCTTCAAAACTTACAGAGATTATAAAAAACAGAGCTCTAATAGCTACAATTAAGAACTAAGTCCCTGGAGGGAAAAGGAGTGATTTTTTACATATTGAAGTTGTCCCCAGATTCAACCAAAGCAAGTAAAATATTTGATTTCTTTCATGCATTTCCAGTGCAAGTGACCTCTGTATACAGCCAGGCACCTACATCAAGTGTAATGTTAGCCCTGTTAATGCAAACAAGTTCTTTATTGATCTGCTGTAGTGAAGACTTGAGCCTACACAGTAAAATAACAAGGGGAAAAAAATCCCTCTACAATTTTAAAAAGGATTTTTTTTTTTGGTTTGAATTAGTGGTTCTTAGAGCTCACAACCATCAAAAGCTACTTCAGTAAATTTCACATAAAAGTGGAAATCTTCAACTATTTTTGCATTTATCATGATAGTCAAGTATTCCAAGGTACAAATGCCTGAAACAACACAGAAAACAGACCAAAGTTTTATCTTATTAAAGCTATTCAAAGAAAAGATTTCCCCTCCTGCTCGCAGTGGTGTGGATGTAACAAGGTCTAGGTCACATGGGTATCAATAAACCACCAATGGTTTCTTTATGAAACAATAAGAAAATGCATACAAAGTTAAAAGGGTAAACTTTACAGGGAAGATCAGTAAATGCAAAATCGATTTTGTTCATTTATTCCCCTAATCTTGTCATGCTGTAATCGAGTTTCAAGTTAGATTTTCCCTGCCCCCTCCCGTAGAATTTAAGCAAGCAGCATGTTAAATCACTACAAATGGACTCTGGCTTTCTAGACCCTGAGAGAGTGTGGCTGTTCACTAATGTTTATCTAAAAATAGTTTCATTTTGGGCAAAGTTCCTCTTTGTGCTCCTGAACACGAAATGGAGAGCAGACTTTCGATGGCCAATCGCCGTGAGATGAATTTTACTTCAAATTGTGCCCACACTGCAATTCAATGAGAGAAATTCAAGTTTTCTTACTTCCATTCTAAACAATGCCATTACCCCATCAATTTATTTCATTGTCTAAAGCCTGGAAACCTGTAGGGTTTCACATCAGGTATTTTCTTAGCTGTTACTAAGTAAGAAAGACTGAACACTTTTGCATAAGTCTGAAAGATGAGAAATACTTGCAAAGGTGGCATTCTGTACTCAGAATTGCTGCTACAGTTCCTTCTGCAAAGGTTCTCTCTCACCAGCTAACACTGAGCTCCAGCTCCCAGCACCTGTGTGCACAGAAATAGGCTTCCAACATTGGCTGGCACTTGAGAACCTCAAAAAAAAGCAAAAAAAAAAAAGCAAAAAAAAAGCAAGAAAAGAGAGAACAAGTATGTTCTCCCCATGTTTTTTGCAAGATCATATAGACTAAAGTTTTGTGGATAAAGCATATATAAAGTTATAAAAGAAGACTCAAAATAAATGTTATACAAATATTAAAGTTATTAAACCTAAACTTCTGGAAGATCACTATAATTGCTTCTTTTATATCTGGCATTGTACTTCAACTGCTGAATTCCTTCGCTTCCAAGAGCAGACTTATGGAGATGCTGTACTATTTGATTTGGCACTATTCACAAGCCTTGGTAGATGATCAAAAATAGAGGGCACAGAAGAGCAGGAAAAGCCTTAAGAAGCTGTCTGGGCTGCTGTTGTTGCTGCCTCCATAGGCAGAAAACTTGTAAGCTGTATGATTCACTATTGTTTAATTTTAGACTGCTTTTTTATGTATCTTGACAAAATAAACATCAGCATTTCTTTGGATATTGATTCATACCCAGGTTAAGTCTCTTCACTTGTCAGCAGGTAGAAATTTTATTTTTTCCTCTTTGCAGTATTTTGAAATATATGAGTCATGTTGTGCATTAACTGAAAACTGAAGACAAAACTGTTACAAAAAGCAGCAAGAAGTAAACAGGACAATTTAAAAAGAAATCCCAGATTAAATCATGATTACAACAGGAAGATTTAAAACTTTCTGTGTACTCAAGAAACATAAAACTGTTTTTTGCAACTTCAGGAGGACCAAATAATGAGCTGGAGAGTCCTGAAAAGCTGCCAAGAAAATTGCACTCGTGTGGAATACCAGGGGAAGAGGGAGGGGAGGATATCCAAGTCACCCTGAGGCAATTGAAGGTTGTGTTAGGATGCTTACACATGACTGGAAATTCACAGGAAAGCTTTCCATGTAAACAGGAATCCCCAAATATCAATACAGTCACAAAAAAAGCTTTTACATGCAGTGCTTAACTCCTCATAAGATCAGGCTGTGCCCAGTGACAGGGCCCACAGAAGATACAAGAACTGCACACCAACATCCCAATTTTCCTGCTTGCTGCCACCAGCAGCAGGTCCTGGAGGCAAAGCCCAGGTGCTGGATGTCTCCCCTGCCTCTGCTGCCAGCATGAACCCTCCAAAACCTTCATGGGCAGGGATACTTCACTTCTGCTGAGCAGGGCTCTGCTGGGAGCAGGGAGGGAAAGAGCAGGCTGATGGCTGTAAGGGGAATTAATGCTCCGAGCAGTTTAACTCCTATTCAGATTTTGACTTGGAGAGCTGCCAGGTTTCCAGGGAAGCAAGTCATACAGAGCAGCTGCTGCCCAGTTATGATCTTCTCTCTCCCCAGACTTCCTCCACAAACATAGAGCAGATCCTTGTCAGCAAGCTGGGGCTTTTTAAGGCCCCCACAGCCAAGAGAGGGCTGGAGCTGCTCGCTTGCCTACAGCTTTGGCTGTTTGTCCTCCCCAGCTCTGCAGTGCAAGTGGAGAAAAGCAGACTGTGCTCCGTGCAGCGTGGCAGTGCTGGGTGATGCCCTTAGGAGAACGGGGATGAAACACAAAATGAACTTCCCCAGTTTGTGCACAGCCCCTTCTGGCTCAACAGTGGGTGAGTGAGATGACTGAACGTGCAGTCCAGCCACCAGCAGACAGACACACGCTTTGTAAACGGCATCACGCTCGGCTACAAAGCTCAGTGTGATTGTTGTGCGTAAGAAATTAATCCTCACAGAGGATTACATAAAAGCCATCCCACAGTCTTCCTCCTTTTTCAAGATTTTGAGATCACTTTCCCTTTCCTCCTCGTCTGCCACTCCTTCATGCACCATGCTTGGGGACAGACGTGTACCTTAGCCAGCATGAATGCAGAAAAAGTGCCTTCTTCTGAACAATGCTTTCATTTCCTTATTCCAAGACTTTTTAAAGTCTTTTATGGTCAACTCTGCTCAGAATTGCTGCATTATAAAAAGTGAAGCAAAGCTCCTCAAAGTCAGATGTTTTGTCTCACAGCCCTTTTGAAAGAGAGCCTGAAGGCTCTAGTGCTAAATACGCTACTTGCATATGTACCTGTACAAGTGCATTAAACTGAAGGTCTCTAAGTTAAATGTTCAAGGGCTTTACTGTACTACTTTGACAGGCATTCTTGTGACAGTTCAAAACCAGAAGCATTCCCTACAGACAAATATTTTTTTACTGACTTCCTTCAAACTTCCTTGCAGAGTGCACTGTCTGATCACTGGGTTGTTGTTTAGAAGCAGAACTACCAAAGTGAGCAGCATCCAAGAGTGATGCATGTCTGTACAGTTGTATTAGACCAAAAAAAAAATGCATCTAGTGGCCAAATTCCAGTTGCAGTTATGGTCCCTTAATGAAATGACATCTTAATGGAACTGACCTAGTTATACATTAAGACTACTGTACCTAAAATATTACATAGATGGAAACATATTCTTTGCCATTTAAGCTGCAATTTGCAATATTGATTTTAACCCCAGATGAGACCTTGATCTAACTAAGTGCACTGTGAATCCAAAAATCCTGACCTCCAGACCAAACATTTGTTCTTTATTATAAGTGCAAGCAGACTGCCTCACGTTTGGGTGACGGATGTGAGTCAAATCTCTCAGTTAACTCTGGTTCAAGGAGTAATCCTGCTGCATGCAGCTTTTTTTGGTATGAAAGCTACACCAGAATGCTCACCCACACAAAGTAATGACTCCAAGTTCTCAGCAACACCAAGAACCACCAGGGTATTTTCATGTGAAATATGAAAGAAAAGCAAACCCAGAAGTTAGAGTTCTAGTTTGCAAATAGAAAAAGTAACCTTAGATTCCTTTATAATAAATTAAGGGAAGAGGAGTGCTTTCATCTTCTCTTAGAACAGACAAAACTGTTCAGCCTCCCATCATAAAACCCCCCTGCCCTGATGGAGGCAGTCTTTCAAGAATTTTCATTTCTTCATTGCAACTAGAAGCACAGGAAACCTCCAGAGATTTCTAATACCTGTGTGCTGGTTCTCCCTGTAGTAAATGATACCTAGACCTTCCACAGGAATTTAGGTGCTCATTTTCTACTGGTTTACCTGGGCACCTAAATGTTTTTACAATTATTTCTGCCTCACCACCCCTTACCTTCTAGTACATGAAGGTAATACTATCTCCCTGCCCCAGAGATGATTAATAAGAATGAACTACTAAACATCACTGAATCACTTTAAACTATATATGGTCACCTAAACAATTTTGAGGACTTGGGACTCAGTCTCAAATCACAGACATAGAGCAGCCCCATAGAGTGGTGCAGGCTTAGTACCTGCAGTGAATGAGATTTTGAAAAGTAATTTAATTACAACAACAGGATTTGGGAATAAAAAAAAAGGAAATTGTGATTCAAGGACTAGAGGAGACAGGTTCTCTAATTCAGCTCTGTGCCTTTCAAAGAATCCCTTTAAGGAATTAGACTTTGTATGACTGAACTGCACCCTCTTTACAAAGTTGACTGCACGTTTAAACCACAGAACAAATCAAATGAAGTGGACCTTTTTAATCCAGGAGAGCCTCTCTACATGACAGACTCTCTTTAAACTGATCTATTTAGTTTGATAGGCAGTTAAAAATGCTCATCTCTCTTCCCTTTTTGCAGACATGAAGGGAGCAGCACTGTCTCAGGACTCATACTCTGGACATCATTTTACATTAATCATTAGGAAGTAACAGCACATAGGAAGAGCAATAGGAAGCAGAGGCAAGTATTCTGCAGTACTATAGCTACTATAAAATTCAGCTTTAAATAAGGAAGTCCACAGAAAAAATCAACCCAAACAATCCAAAATATAATCAAGCTCCCATTTACCAGAGTTTCAGCTGATTTACTTGAACGGAACCAGCATGGTCTGCATGGAACTGGGATTAAGACTAGAGTTGCTCACTTGCAGATACTTCTGATCTGTAAATGAAAATACAAAATATCACAACTGCAGAAAACTTAAGATCCAAGTTGTTAACAACTGTAGAGGACATGAAATTATTTCATTCAGTGTCCCCAGACTTTACTGAACAGCAGCAAGTTTAACATAAATTTTCAAAATGTCAAACATGAAAGACCATAGTCATGTCTAACTTAGCCTGTGACCTTTGATCAGTCATTCTCCTCTTGGCCCATAATTTCTGGGTTGTGTTTACTTACACATTACTGTATTGCATGGAATTAATATTGGTTAAATGAGTTCAGTGCTGCAAGGAACTCAACACTTACTATGGTTGGGAGTCTGATCTCAGGAGGTGGGGTTAGAAAAAAAAATAACTTATCTTCACCACTGCAAAAGACAGAGTGAAAAATCCTAAACACTTCAAAGACTTAAAATTATTATTTAGTAAGTGATTTCAAAATGCTCAAGAAAGACAAAGAGAATACTACTACAGAAAAAAGAGGCTGAGAAAATTTATTTTCTAATAGGAAGAAGAAGTTTCCTCTTCCCACAGTAGTTTCTCCCTACTCTGTGACAGTTTATTTTATGCCTACATAATGGTTTTATTTTTGAACAGGATTAGATGGAAGTTCTTGGGAAGGTACTTCTTCATGAGCATTATATCAGTATTTCAATGGTGCAGGTAAGATCAGAGAATTCTGAATTTTGCTAACAGAAAACATAACTTTCTGCCAAGATGGCAACCAAGAAGCTTTGAAAAGATCTAAAACTCCATCAGCTATATAAGCAATCACAAACAGCCCAACAAACACTTTTCCCAGAATTCTGTGAGAGGAAACAGAAAAAAAAATACACCACAGCGTACATCAGCCATTGCAGAATGACATATTGCATTTGCCCTTCAGAGCAGCACTGTGCAAGTCATGAATGAGACATTGGAGTTCTCCCTTTCCTCCAAACTTCTGTATGGAAGGAAAGAGTTGAGGATGCAGCAAAATAGAAGTATGTGTACCTTGATATCATCTCATATTTTAAGTAAGTATTGTTTTAAATCATTTTACTAACACAACAGATTATTTCTTATTACATCTGGTTTTCCACCCTTTGGCTGAGGGTCATGTAAGGCACTGACAGGACCTTTTTGGACAGCATCCAACTATCCCCCTCAAAATTGAGATGTTTACTTAATGAGAATTAATTCAATTACAGTAAAGTACAGCAAATAACCAAGATGCTCCAGTTTGATTTCACAACGATGAGCTGCAGTGAAACTCTGAAATAAATTATAATGCCAAAGGAAAAATTCTTCACTGTTGTCAAGTGTTTGGAAAGTGTTAACATGGTTCATTCATTTTCAGCTGCAATACCATGCTGAAAACATACTTTTGCTGGTTTGCAGTTGATTGATGTACATTACTCATATCAGGCTAATGGCACTTTATTTTCCAACAGTAGCAAGTAATGAGTGACCTTGAGTGCATATTGTTTTGCTGAGAGGTTTTGTTGCTCCGTGTACTCTATGAGCACCCCCAAGGAAATGAGGGCCCCGTATTGGTGTTTTTCAGCAAACCTCATTTCTTTCATGGCTTTCTGTAAAAGAATTTGATACAGGGATAGAAGCTAACCTAAGTGAGTAAATGAAATATTGATCCACACTACTCTGGCCTTGCCTTCACCTTGTCCCAGGGCTGTGAGTTACTGACTTTTCCGTTTTGGCTGTAATAGGAATTATTACAACAGGCCTCTGCGAGTAATTACTTGGCATGGCAAAAAGGAGGGTCCATCATATATTTCTGTAGAGACGTTAGTTTCCATCAGGCCAGCAGTCTGCTTTTTTGGCCCTGTCTTTCCTACTCCTGATTCAATTCCTTTAACCATCATTAATCAAGTTCCTTGTCAGTAGAAGTTTATCAAAAGTATTAAGTGAGCAAGGTTGCATGGCCTCCTTAAAAAAAAAAAGTAAAATAAAAAAAGTCAAGAAAAAAGAAGGACCAATGCAGGGCAGTAAATTTCAAAATATGGAACGCTGGTTCCATGATATATATGAGTGTCTCTTCAGCTGGAATGAGCAGTTTGTTTTAATGATAGATATTGTAGTTTGAGCCGTGATAGAATCCTTCTCAAGTTTATATGCCACAGACTATCATTTATGAGAGACCATGTGTTTCTAAATGGTGAAGGTCATGGCTGATGGCAAAAGTAAAAGCAGTGGTGATTCATTAAAAATAGTTAATAGGGCCTGCTGTTGACAGGGATAAATAGCAACACCCTGCATTTGCAACCCACAAGCAACTAGTTTAGGCAATGCCTCTTCCGTGTTTTCAGCAGCCCCGACTGCCAGACAGCTGTGAACATACACGGAGACATCAGCAAGATTGCTTCCACCCTGCTAATAACAGATGCACAACGGGTTTCCAGTGTGAATGACTTCTCTGGATACAGATTTTCCAACCAGCAGCTTTGACAGACTGACTAAACATCCAGCTCACAGTGATTTGTTAGCTAATAATCAAGTTTATGCTGTACACTGAATTCTTAGGGACCAAACAGATATGCTAACTACCCTGCTGGGATCCCATCCTTCAGTTTGAACACCAGCTGATGTCCCAGGTGAGCCCACCTGACATCAGTGGAAGCTTTGCTACATAAAGGACACTAAAATGGGACCTCACAGCCTTGGAATGACTAAAATACTAATGATATTTATTGTGTCCTCAATCAGAAAAATGCAATTTCCTTAAGGCACTTTTGTGCTATTCAGAAAATGAACTCTCAAAATTCAGTTAGAAAGAAAATATTTTAACTGGCTGTTCTGATGCTGTCCCTTTTTTTGGTTTGACTTTATTTTTAAAATGCAAGCACACAACAATCATCATTAAAACAGAGATGTACTCCACTTTTTAAAGTTTATAAATATAGTTTGCCAAACAGATTTGGGGCTGCACTTTAAAAACAGAGCTTGGTGAATGTTCTCTCGTGGACACAATTCTACAGTACACACCAATGATAGCCTATGGATTGCCTATGGTTTTGTCTGGCTGGTTGTTAAATACAGAGGAAAACTATTAATATATACTCATTGACTTTAGATAACAACTGATTTATAGTCATTATTTCCAGACTAAAATACTGGAGAGGTGGTTCACATTTAATTTCTGATCCTCCTTTGCCAACGTGTTCTGCCCTTCCTGGGACATTTCCCTACCTAACACATTAAAACACATTTAAGTGAGCTATTATCATCTATTTTAGGAGAAAATTTTGTTTCTCATTCAGCTCAAGTAATTTCCTCCTCAAGTGAGCTTTGTCTCAACTATTTAGAGAGTTCCATTACTTAGCTGATCTTGAAGCACCATCAAAAGGAATACAATTAATGACTTCCTAGGAGTTGATCATGCACTGCTTGAGTAGGCACTGGAACGCTGCAAATAACAGCAGCAAAGATAAAAAAGGAAAAAGAAAGAAAAAAAAAATAAATCTGGTAAATTAAAAATAGTAACAGAGGAAATGAAAGTGAATCCATTAAGGCTTGGTTAATTCTGCCATCTCCAGTCTTTTCCTCTTCATATGATACATATGCTTTGCAGCTGCCTAGATCAGAGCTGAAATCCTGTAATTACAAAAGCTCCCTGACTTTCTTTCCTCTTCCTTTACTGTGGAAAAAGAAGGTTAATTTTTCCTTACTTGATTGCTGAATACAAATGCTTTTTAAAGCAAGCTAGGAAATGGGTCCATGGTGTCTAGCTGATAACCCTCCTTAAAATGCAGTTTTGTCTCAAATGTTTATGCCTTTCTTAGGCACTGATTAAATGCTACTTCCCTTGGCCAATCATCTGCAGAAACAACACCAGCCTCTAAATTAGAAAGGCAGACAGTGAAAAATATTTGATTACTAAGTAGAAAGGTAAATGAGATATCTGTTGTGATTATTTTAATGCTTATCTTTCAATACTTCTATAAGAGGATCAGTTTCCCTAATATAGTCATCTTGTGAAAGACAGTCTGCAGTGGTTACAAATTGACTTTTTATGGAGAAAATAAGACTGTTCCTAACCTATTGCACTGATATTATATTTTGTTAATATTTTATGAAATAAAAGTCCTCCCATTAAGGGTGGCAAATTGCTTTATAATTATAGCACTTCGCACACTAGAATGACTACTTCATTTTATGGAAAAAAGCTCCAAATATAATTTCATTATCATCCAGTGTCTTTTCAGCCTTCTAAGGGTTTCAGCAGAAAGCACTGTCATAAGCATCTCCAATATCTCCTTTTTCAAATATTAGTTCAATTTAAAGAAAATTATGGCTCCTGTTCCATTCTGCTCACTATTATTATTAGTAGTAGTTGTGTACAGTGAACATTTGTACCTAAATCTAGATGAGTCTAATGAATAAAGTGAACAACTATAAAATATGGACCTTTTAATTTCTGCATCCAAAGGTTGATTTATATCAGTCTGAGCACTGATTTAACTCAAGTGGTTTAGAAACAGATTTAGTTAAATCTGTGCAAGTCCCTGGTGCAGTCTCTCTTAAATCAGTTTAAGAGAAACTTAAATCAATTTAAACTGATGTGGTTTATAGATCTGAATTGGTTTCTCAACCAATTTAGTTAAAATAGGAATCCAAGTTGCAATCAGACAGTCTCCCAGTCAATCACTCTGATCTCAATCCGAATCAGCACACTTCTGCAGTTCTCACATGAGAGTAAAATTGCAGCACCAAAGAATTTTTTTTCATCCTGTCTTTTCATTTTTTTATCTTTCCTCTTTGAAGCTTTTGATAAAACCATTAAAGCCTTCTGCTAGAAATCATCAACAGTCTGGCATATGCACAGTCTTGTGTCCTGCCTGAAGAACCCAGTGACACTTTTGGTGCCTAGGCCTGTAAGCTCAAAGGTTATTTGATTTCTACTGAGGTGATTTGCTTCTCTACTAGAAGATCATCACTGCAGCACTCTCAATACTGCAAAATCAAATCTATATTGCAAATGAAAACTCAGCTGGTATGTGT